CAAATGGGCAAGCGAAATGAACAGAAACTTTTCAAAAGAAGACAGAATAATGGCCAGCAAACATATAAAAAAACAGCCCCGAGTTTTTATTGCCTTGCAGTAGTGCCCCCAGCCCCCGGGAGTTGAGAGGGAGAGTCAATGTAGGGCATCTGGGAAGTTAGGCATTCCTGCTGCCTCCTTGAGCAGGGAGGTCACCAGCCCGGGAGGGTAAAGAGATGTAGCACCAAGAAGGATGTCCTAGGAAATACCTGATTCTGGAGACTGAGGTCTAGGGTGTGGACTGGACCTGGGGCTACCTAGAATTCCCAGGCTAGGGCCATTCACAGCACACCTAAGGGCTAATTTCTGCTCTGCCTCAGGGAACCACAAAGCCTGGTTTTTCGCTTCCCAGCACAGCCCTAGAGATGCCTCTGCGGCGCTCACCACACTGGCAGCCTCCAGACAGGCTGATGAGGATTGAGCCCTGCACTCTCAGACCCAGAGATCCCAGGAACGCCCACATGCTTCTTTCTGGTCTCCCCAGCCACTGCAGGGAGCAAATGCCTTCGTCCGGACCACAGCCCTTCTGGGCGCACCTGGAGCTGAACGCTAAGGCAGAGCAGTCCTGAAGCCAGGTTGGGCTGAGTGTCAGTGTGATGGGTGTGGTGGAGCGAGCCTCTTGTTGAGAGTGTGTGCAGGAATAATGTGAGCAGGTTATCATCACGCCGATGTGTGGATGCCACTGCACGAGAGACTCAGAGGCAGGCTTGCCACACGTTTGAGAGTGAACCCCTAAGGATACCCCCCTGAGCCAGTGTCTGTTTTTTGTGTCTCCCTGCTTGGTGGAGCGGGCACGTTTGGAGACAGTAGTGAGTTTATGCGTTTGCATGACTGAGACTGGAAGTGAGTGTGAGTTTTAGTCCAGACAGGGACTCCACACCACTGTCAAGCTTGCCTGCCCTTTAGTGGAAGACATGAGTGCAGGGCGGGGTTTGGGGCGGAATCCAATGCTACTTGGACATCTTGACAAACGCCAGCCTGAAGCAAAGGGGAAGCTGTGAAAATGATGTGGGCAGGCGGACTGAATGCGAGGGCATGGGTGGCAGAGTGAGGGGCGGGCTAGAAGTCTGGATGGAGGCTTGGGAAGCATCTGTCCCTTGCACCTCACTCCTCAGGCCCAGCTGGGCATTGGTCCCCTCCCCACACTTGTAACAGACCTGAACACCACCCTGACCACCCAACCTGAATGCAAGCAGTCAGGCGAGGTGGGGATTCATATCAATGGAGATTTTTACGGAATCCTGTATGTGGACCAGGAAACTCTTCTAGATCCCTGCCTAGTTGGGGACCAGGCACTGAGATACTTCTCACAACCTTTGTTCAAGATGGGACTATGGTCCCCATTTCACAGATGGGTACATTGAGGCTCTGAGAAGTTACTTGCCCATGATCACACAGTCTGAAATTGGCACAGCAGGAATTGAGCTCAGGGCTAACAAAGCTCTTACTCCCAGCTCCATCTCCTGCCCTGGCCCTCTGCTGGTGATACCAGCTGCCAGCATCAGGCAGCCTGTTTGGACCCAGAATCCACCCTGCAGCACATTAACCCTTCAAGCCTCACTTTGACAAGGGTCTGGGCTCAGACCGGGGGGGAGCCAGGAGTCCCTACAATCCTGGACCTTGCCCTCCCAGCCCGAGAGCTGGGGGTGGAGTGGGGTACAGGTTCAAAACCAAGTGAGACTGGAGATGAAATCTACCATAACATCAAACTGCATTCAAATTCCTGCTCACTTTAAAGACCTTTCTCCTTGGTCCCTCAGCATCCCCCTACACACACACTTCCATCAATGACCTCAATGCAAATACAAGTCATCTGGCCACCTGACTGGATCCTCCAGGTTCTGGAAGCATGGGGGTAATGACGAAATCTGGTTGCTGCAGGGGACCCCTCTCCCATTGGATGCTTGGCACTCAGGGACTCCTCCCTACCCACGGCGGGGGAATAAGAGCAGCCACTGGCTCTGGGAGGCATCAGAGCCACTGCCCAGACCAAGAGTCGCCGCGGCTTCCGCCAGACCCCCCTGGACCACAACACCACTGCTGCTGCCCCTGCTCCAAGTCACTGTCCACCAGGTGAGTCCTGAGATTCCTGCTCAGGTGTGTCAGTCTATTTCTTCCTCTCCTCCACTCCCTCTCTCTCCATTAGTCTATCTCTTAGTTTATCTCCCTGCCACTCTCACTCCCTGTCCACGTCTGTCTCAGTCTCTTACAGTTTCTGTTAGTCAGCGACTCATACCAGGCTTCTGCCCAGGTAGGAGTGGACAGTCTCCTTCTGTTCCGGGAGCACCATGCTCCGCTCTTCCTGTGCCGCTTCAGACTCCGGTCTCACTCTCTCCTCCTGTACACACGCTAGGCCAACTCCCCACACTGGGGGGTCCCAGGCACCATGCACAGAGCAGAACTCAGGAGTTGCTTTCCACAGACGATGCTTCCAGAGATCGAGTCTGGAGCCTATCAATCCTTGGGAAAATTGGTTCAGAACCTAGGCCAGCATGAATGGATGGCAAATGAGAGCAATGACCCAGAGGCAGGAAGCCCTAAACTGCAAGCCCCAGTCGCCCTCTCTGGGAGCACAGAGAGAAGTCTGAGATCCCAACTTAAAACTCTGTTAAGCATGGTTCTTGCAGGGGACTGAGTTGCCAGAGGGCAGAGCGGCTGAGCACTAAAACTGGTTCTTCTGTTTCTCAGACATTCCAACTGCAGAGATAGTCCCTCTTCATATCCCCTCTCTCTCCCCAACCCAGGTGTGTTCAAAAGCCTGGAGGAGGACAGCTCTGGATTTTGTTATGAGAGCAGCTGATGTGATAGGGAGATCCCAAAGTGTCCTCCACAGAGACCTAGCTAACAGGTTTATGTGTGTGTGTGTGTGTGCACTTGTGTGTGTGTGTGTGAATGTGTGTGGCTTTGGGGTACGACTGAGACCTCCCCACCCAGCTGTCCCGCTAGGAACGCTCCTCCAGCTTTGCGAAACTGCATGCGACAGGCTCACTGGACCTTCCAGCATTCCATTTTGCTCGTGAGAAAATAAAGATGAAGAGAAATGTAATGACCAGTCTGAAGCCACAAAACCAGGGAGATAGGGGCAGGGCAGAAACAGGACAAGAGTCCACATATGTGGTTTCATAGAACTTTGAACTGATGCAGGCAGTGACATCATTCTTCCCTTGCAGAGGAGCGTCATGGGCTTCCAGAAGTTCTCCCTCTTCCTGGCTCTCAGCATCTTGGTCCTGTACCAGGTGGGCAGCCTCCAGGCAGTGCCATTCCGGTAAGACAGCCTGAAGCCAGGAGCACACTTCCCTCCCATTGCTCCTTGGATCAAACAATTCCTTGCATCCTAATTTTGGTGTGCTATGCTGAATGCTTAAAATCCAGGCCGAGGAGTGAGGGGGGGAGTTGAGGGGCAGGAGCATGTATGTTTGTATGTGTACACATATATAAATTATTCTGATATAAAGGTGTGTAGCACACAGAGAGCAAGGGTAGCCCGGAGCCCCTCGAGGACTTCACAGTACTAAGGTATACAATATTCTTTACTGTAAATTACATATAGCCCATTGAGACTTACAAAATGCTTTCATTGCTTTTTATCAAACTTGTATTTCTAGCTGAACTAGTTTATCCAATTCAGCCTTGACTTCAGAAATGAATTGCACCCTAATCTGCGACCTAGTTTGCCAATAAATTTGGCATTATTAAATCTAATATGTGATCTGTAAATCTAATTTCTCACTCACACACAAATTTATTAAAATGAAACCTTTTTCAGAATTTCATCATTTAATTCTTAATAATGGTTTCACTTAACACTCAGCTTCCAAAATTCCTGAAAACTTAGCCATCAACCTTCAAGAGCCTGTTACAAACTGGCTCCAGCACACCACAGCTTGGAGACCACACCAGTGCCTGGCTCCTGCTGAGGACATTGACCTCCTGCCCTGTCACTGGGAGTTGAGTTGGCCACCTTCTCAAAGGAGGAAGAAGGGACCAGGAAGCCTGGCTACATATCCCCAGAAGGCAGTAGGCAGGAGCTCACAGCCTGCATTGGGTTTGCTTCCCTCCACCAGGTCCACCCTGGAGAGCATCCCAGACCTGGCTATGCTCAGTGAGGAGCAAGCACACCTCCTGCTGGCTGCACTAGTGCAGGACTATGTGCTGGTGAAGGCTGGTGAGCTGGAACAGGAGCTGGAGACAGAAGGCTCCAGGTAAGGCTCACCACACCACCCAGCACAGGCCTCCTCTCCCCATCACAGAAGGCGTAGCTCAGGTAGGAGAGAACACGCTGGCCAGGGTCCAGCAGGCTGTGGTTGTCCACCAGGACCCGGGGCCCAGCCATTCTCGGGCTCCATGGGAGTCAGAGGTCCTGGTGTAGCTGGAAGGACTGTGGTTGGACACATTAAAAAACTCCATTTCTGAAAGCTGTTAGGAAATGAAATAGGGAGATGTGGAAGCTCACTGCAGGAATTGCCTTTGCAGTACCGAGGAGACCTCTCAGTTTCAGATGAGTTAAGACTGGTAAGGATGAAGTGGATAGGCCTGGTGTATCTCAGGAGATTTTAGAAATTTGGCTTTGTTAATCTGCAGATGACATTTTTTCACACCTGCAAAGAGCCTTTACTTCACATTTTCAAGGTGAAAGGGAAGCCCTTGCGGGGGGTGGAGGGGGACAAGTAGAGCAGTGTGGGAGGTAGGTCTGAGTCTCTGGACATGCAACATCCATGGAGACGTGCATGTTCTCACCCAGCCAGGGTGGGTACCTTTCCCCAGCACCCCCTCCCGTGCTCCCTGAGCCTGACCAGAGACGAGCCTGGCCCCAGCCCTGCCTGGGCAGAGGCATACATTGCACCTGTATCCACCTTGAAAACCCCTCTGCTGAGCGTATAGGAATGCCATGTGGAATGCCATTGCATGTGGAAAGCCAGAAAAGGTCACCCTTCCCTACCCAGCCCTTCCCCACACTGCCCTGGCCCACTGAACCTCTGATCTCTCCTGATGAAGGATGTGTGAGCTGCCCCCTAGCCTGGTCCAATCTCCTGAGTGACTGTCGGCGGGGCAACGCCTGGTGCATGGTAATGTCTGGCATGTCTTTTCCCTACAGCGTGGACAGCACCAGATCTAAGCGGTGCGGTAATCTGAGTACTTGCATGCTGGGCATGTACACGCAGGACCTCAACAAGGTTCACACATTCCCCCAAACTGCAACTGGGGCTGGAGCACCTGGCAAGAAAAGGGATATGGCCATCGACTTGGAGAGAGACCACCGCCCTCATGGCGGCATGCCCCTGGATGCCAACTAAACTCTTCCCCCTCCTTTCTAATTTCCTTTCTGACTTCCTTCCTCAAAAGTGATGCATGCGGTTCCCCTCTGGTTGCTCTTAGGGCTTTTATCAGTGGCTTTCCTTGTGGCTGAGGATGTCTAAAACTCAGGTGGGAAAAGAAAGAGCAGGACTCACAGGCTGGGAGAGAACCACCCAGAAGAGATCAGAGAGCAAGGGCAGCCCTGAGTCCCCCGAGGATTTCACAGCAGAGCTTCTTCATCCTACTTCTAAATGTGCTGTTCATTTGGGGAATAAAGCTATTATTCTAAAAGGACCCGAGTTGTGGTGGTCATTGCTCTAGCCCATGACCCAGGCTTCATGGTGTCTAGGACCTGTACTTAGAAGTAGCCTTAACCCTAGGGTAGCAGGACACAGGGTATGGTGGTGGGTCCCTGTGACCGAGCTCAAGCAGCAAGGACAGGGATGCTAACAATCAGGTAAGCACTTCTGGGACTGGATGCTTCAAACTCCACTGTGCTCCTCTTCCAGGTAAGACTGGGGAACTTTTGTTTTCCTAAGAGGGGGTATTTGGTGCCTGTGACTGGGGTATGGATTCTACAGTTCTTGTGAATGGGGTTGGGCACTGTGCCATAATTCACTCCAGTCTCAAAAAGCTTTGCTAATTTTCATTCTATTTATACAGGAAATATTGGACATTACAGCTCTTTATTCCATGGCCAGTCACCCAGAGTCACCTTTGCGTTTTCTGATGCCTCTGGGAATGTCTATGGGGAGTGATCACAGCATTTTCCCTAATGGCCTTGTGATTTTCTGCTCCGATAATTGTGTTTGGGAGAAACACTTAAGGTTAATTGGTGCCTCTCAGAGCCTCCACTTTACCATGATGGTCCCACGGGTCAAGTTCCTCCCCCAGTCTCTCACTGACAGATCTTCTATTATTTCTTCATCCTGAAAATCAGCGTCACTACCCAGAAGAGAGCGTGCAACACTGCCACCTGTGTGACTCATCGACTGGCAGCCTTGCTGAGCAGATCAGGGGGTGTGGTGAAGAGCAACTTCATGCCCACCAATGTGGGTTCTAAAGCCTTTGGTCGGTGTCGCAGGAACCTTCAGGCCTGAGCAGATAAATGCCTCCAAGAAGGTGAACACCCTTGTACTATGGGATGGGAGCGTGGATGACAGGGTAGTGCATGGCTGTACTTTATGCTCTGAGCACTGTTGGGCCCACATGGTTGAGAAAAATCCACAGGGGAAAGTACCCACACCAGTATCTGGAGAAAGGACACTGAGACCCAATAGCTGAAACCCTAGAATTTGGATTTACCTTCTCTCTATTTCTCCAGTCTTTCCTTGTAACACTGACATCATTAGACCAGGAAATAAGGATGCTCTTTATTTCAAACACTGTTCTTTATCATTGTAATTGTGATTACTTTAGCACTTGAGTTTGAAAGACAATGACGGCAACCTTTTAGAGTATACATTACAGTGTTGTGTACCCCTGAATTAAGCGTAGACTTGAGTTCAAAAACTGTTTTCCGTCTACTACCTATATGACTATGGACCAGTCACTTAACTTTCTCTGAGTCTCAGTATCCCCATCTGTAAATTGATAGCTACAAAAGTACCCACCTCCTAGCATTAATATAAAGAGTAAATGAGATAATAGATATCAAGAGTCTGACAATTAATCAGTAACTAAATTCTAGCTGTTGTTTTCTTTTCCTTATAGGTCTCAATGAAGCCAAACTCTACATCTTTTAATGTATAATGAAATCAATTTATAGGAGAGGCTCCATGGAAGACATACATATTTGCATCCTTCTTGGTATTGAAAACTATCTTCTTTGTTTGCAAGGAACTAAAGCTAAATGCAGAATAAGCTCATTGCAGTTACCTATGTGCATCTTCTCCATATTTCATTCTATATCCAATAAATATGACAGGGTGTCTCATTGGCATATCTGGTAGCAAATCTGGGCCCTGTCACCCATCCCGTTAACATTGGCAGCTCTGTTAAACCTCAAGGGGACATGAAATCACTGCCTCTTAGGCATCTGGGGACATATGGCAATGCTGTGCCTTGGTGGAACTATTTGTCTAAAGAAATGTCAGTGTTGTCATTTGTGAACTTCATCAAAATTAAAAATGTATTTTCGATACCCTTAAATGGAATCTCTGCTGCTGTTTTGCTGTTTTTCCCAGGAGAGCTTCAGGGGCCCATAAGCACTTTGCTGACCAGGCTAACTCATTTGAAGCAAAGGCAACACACGTGGGATCGATTCTCAGTGTCTTGTACCCTCATTCTCCAGTGAAACATCCCTCATTGAAGTTAGAGCTTTGTGAGTGTCAAAGACGACAATTCACATTTATTTTCAGAGTACCCTGGTCCCCGGCTCCAGAGGTTATCCATGCACTTCTCCTGGACTTAGGTTTGCCCATTCCCCAACCCTGCCTTTCATCCCCATGAGAGCCCCTCCCTGCGCCCCTTGGCCTGCAAAGCCCTTTAGAAATGATGGCTCAGATTTTAAATGGGGATCACAGACCAGCCAACCTAGGAGGTCATCTGTGCCATCCAATCCAACTGGTGTATTCTGTGAGGTGCACAGAATTGTCTTTTTCAAGGTCCAGCAATAAGTTTAACAGAGACATTCATACACTTAACAAATGTTAATACTTATTGAGTGTGTACTATATGCTAGGACCTATTCTAGGTACTGGGAATAGAGCAACGAACAGAACAGAGTGGACAAAACTCCCTGCACTCAAGGAGCTCACATTCTAGTCGAAGGAGATGGAGATAATACATGCTGTGGAACCACAGATCCTCAGTACTGGAAGGAAGCTGGAATGTCATATGGTCTGATGCCCATTTCAATGTAGGAATTTCCCAGCATCAACATTCCCAGTATCCTCTGAGATCGCCAGTGACAAGCTACTGAGTGTAACTCCCAAGTGACTGGGAAGCCAGTTTCACTGGTGGACAGTCATTTAATTAGGTTAATTAGGGAGTTAGCTACTTATTTAGAAAACTCAGCCCCTTCTACTCGCTGACTCTAATTATTTTCTCAGGATCACATAGAAGTATGTCCCTTTCTCGCCTTCAATCTATAGTCAGCACAATAGCTCCACCATCACTGTAAAAGGTATTAAATACATCAGATTGCATCTCCCCAATGTTCAAAACACTCCAATGACTCCCTGTCTCACTGAGCAGACACCTGAGGCATTGCAGTGGCATACAAGGTCCAAGTTGATCTTCCCCTCCTCTCCTCTCGCCACCATCCTCATTACCTGCCTGGCCTCATCTACTCCTCATACTCCCACACAATGGCCTTTATGCTATTCCTCGACTTCTATCTCCCACATTCAGCCACTGCCAGTCTTTTCATGTGCTCGTACCTCTATGAAGAGCACTCATCCTATGGCCCCCATCTCCTCTGGATCTTTACTCAAATGTGAAGATAGACTGACCATCCTTTCCATCATTGCACCCCACCAACATACCCTATCTCTCTTCTTTGCTTAATTTTCTTCTCCTTACTGCTCACTTAATTATTACCTCCTACCATCCTGTATATTTTGCTTATTTGTTTGCTGTTTATACCACTTGCAGCCATAAATCCACGGATCACACAGGCAGGGATAGAGCTATTTTGATAATTGCCAACCTGCAGAACAGTATTAATCCCCAACATGCAGAACAGTGTGCCTAGGACAAGGTAGCATTCAATAAATATTTATTGAATGAATGAGTGAATTAATGAAGTTGTCTTCTTCCCTTTATGTTTGTGGTCACCTCTCAGTTTCCCTCTGGCCTGATTTCTTTAAGCTAAATTGTCCAAGGGCCTTAATCTTCAGCAATTACAGCTCCTGGGTAGTGAATCCCTCAACTGCCTGAAGACTTCAATGGCCACTAGGTTGTCAATAACTCAAGGCTTTCACTCAGACTATTTCTTCAGTTTGGACACACTTCTAATCCCAACTTTTTCCTCCACTTGATTAATTGTGACCATCTCTTCTTCTTCCTTTTCCCATGCAATAAACAAAGGAGACAGGCAGGGTACTCTCCAGGTGTGACAGCTATCATGAGGTAGGCAAATTCAAATTAGGAGGGGAAATAGCAGGAAAACAGTTTTAGTCTTGGGTCCAGGGAAACTTCACCAATAATAAAGTTAGTACTGTATTAAATTCATACCAAGACCCTGTGAATATTTCTAAAATAACCCAGAACTCATAGAGTGAAAGAGTGTGATTAATTTGAACCCTCAAACAAATCATAGGGTTCACTGGATCAAGAACCTAAGAATAGATCTAAGAAGTTCATAAGGCAATCAAAGCACAACATGGAGAAACCATGACTTTTGGTGTGGCTGAAACATCAGTCTTTACTATTCCATAGGCCATGGGAGAAAAATTATGTCTTTTGATGCTAATTAAGGCTGACCCTAAACAATCAGAACCTCAGTGTATATGCTGTGGTTGATTGAATTCTTACTCCCAATTCTTCACTGTACTATAGCAGTATTATATACCCTCACCATTGCCATAGCTCCATGGGTGGGTGAAGTTGACTTCTCCACTCCTTGACTCTTGGCTCAGCCATGTTTTGGCTAATGGGACATTGATAGACACGGTGCAAGTGGAGGCTTGAAATATGTTACATGCTTGGGTTTGGGGTTCTTGTGCTTCTGCCACTGTCATGAAAAGAATATGCCCCAGGTATCTGCCTTAGTCCATTTTGCATTACTATTACAAAATATCACAGACTGGGTAATTTATAAGGAAAGAAATATATTTCTTATAGTTCTGGGGACTGGGAAGTCCAAGAGCATGGTACTGGCATCTGGTGAGGGCCTTCTTGCTACATGATAACATGGCTGAGGACATCACATGGTGAGAAGGGAAGAGCATGTATTTCAGCTCTGATCTCTCTTCCTCTTCTTAAACTCATCAGTCCTGTCATGGAAGCTCCACTTTGATTACCTCATCTCATCCTAATTACATGGATCCATGCCCAACCCACACTGGCTGAGATCAATCTCATCCAAACTAACCCACAAAACCCACGTGCAAGAAAAATAAATGGTCGTTATTGTAAGCCATTGAAATTGAGGTCGCTTACATGTAGTGTTGTTGCGGCAATGGTTAAGTGATTTCATACCATTTGGGGGTGTTATGGATTGAATGGTA